CCAACTTTTGAAATGCCTGCTTTGCATTATAATCTCAAAATATGGGAGACTGCTATTCTCCCAAATGATTCTTGAATCTCTCACCCACTAAGAAAGGAAACCTATCAAAGATTGTCTTACCTTTGGGTAGGTTTGATGCAGAGGCAGAACATCTTTTTGCAGTAGATTCCCCAAAAAGAGCCAGGGCCTGGGTCCAGGAGGGAGCCTGCCTCTTGCCTGGTGAAGCTTGAAGGCCCAGAGTGTGAGCAGAAAGAGAACCAAGAGTATTACTGCTCCAGGCACCAGCTCCACCTGCATGTTGTTTTGCTTGTCTTGACAAAGAGGAAGCGATGAGACTTTGGGGTTGGAAATGAGTCTGGGATACACAGAAAACGTTAGAGGCAAAGACAATGTAATTGATTCTCTAGTTTTCTCTCTTCTACTCCACAAGTTGTCTTTATACTTTTGCAGGCTATCAATTGTTCAAGAACAGGAAATGCTATCTTTAAGTATTTGTTTAAATCCTATAAAAAACAAAGCTGGAGAAACTGAAGGAATACCAATCTATACAGATACATTTGAGAAGAGCAGATAAAAGTAGATCAAGTTGAAAAGCAGGTTATGCAGGTTATGCAGCTAATGACCTCTCTTTTGCAATTTTACTATAATAATATTTTAAAATGATAAGTGATACAAAAAAAAAATACGACTTTTAACCCTAACATATTTCTCTGACTATAAATCTATCATGATTAAACCAACTGCCTCCAATCTGTATCTGGTATAAACTGTTACCACAATTTATAAATTGAACTAAATTGAAAGCATTCACTTTTTCCTTTCTTGTTCAGCATTGACAATATGGAAAAATAAATAGCATGATATATTTGGAAGAGCAAAATACTCTTAGTAACATTTCAAAATAGGTAGGTGGTTGAGGAAAGAAAAATCAAAGCTAGGAGAAGGACTTCAGAAATGATTATCAAGTTATTCTTTGTTTTGGATAGACATGGATTCATTCCAAAGGGTTGTGAAGACATGGAAGATTTGCCAACCCACCTGGGTGGTGCACTCTTGGTAATCTAGCTAAGAACATTTTTTTTTTTGTAATCTCTTGTTTTTAACTAGGTGGTTTAATGATTTGATGCTGCTCAGAGCTTACCGGAATTGGTCAGCATAAATGTCTAAATAAGCAAGTTAGTATAAAAAAAGGAAAAGTAAAGTATACATTCCCCCTCCTCTCCAAAAAAAAGGAAACAAAAATCACAAACTAAGACAACTAAAGACATGAACCTCATTCTGACTCACTGTGAAATTATCTGTTTGCAGTTCTTGGCATGATACAATGTGATGATGCTACCTAAACTCCAGTATCCAGCATCTTTCAATTTAGGGTAGCTTTAGCAATCTGGAACAAAATTTGGATTTACATTATGAATATTTCCACAGATTTCAGGAAATAATTGTCCAGTTTTAGAATTGAAACAAACCAATTTCACACAGATAATGCAAATTCCTGGAATAGCTAGTACTATAGAAATAAGAAAGGAAATCAATAATTATTTGGTATGGTTGAGAAATATGCTAAAAACAACAAAATGAAATTTAACCGAGACAAACAAGGTTTGTCAGACACATATAGGATAGGGAACCATGGCTTGGCAACAGCTCTTGCAAAAAAGATCCCAAAACTGTTGTTGTTGTTAGTTGCGAAATCGTGTCCGACCCATCGCGACCCCATGGACAACGTTCCTCCAGGCCTTCCTGTCCTCTACTATCTTCTGGAGTCACATTTATTATTTCGCTGTTGTTTGCCAATGAATGCATGTCAGGAATGCACATCTTTAGATTGAACATCTGGCTAGATGCCAATATGTTATTGCTTTGGTTACTTTGTTGGTTTGCTGATTGGCAGATTGCTAAATGCATAAATATGCCCAATTCTTGTGAATTAGGAACAGAAAGACCTAGGTTTTGTTGTTGTTGTTAGTTGTGAAGTCATGTCTGACCCATCGCAACCCCATGGACAACATTCCTCCAGGCCTTCCTGTCCTCCACCATCTTCTGGAGTCCATTTAAGCTCATGCCTACTGCTTCAGTGTCTCCATCCAGCCACCTCATTCTCTGTTGTCCCCTTCTTCTATTGCCCTCAATCTTTCCCAGTGAGTCCTTCCTTCTCATTAGGTGGCCAAAGTACTTGAGTTTCAACTTCAGGATCTGGCCTTCCAAAGAGCAGTCAGGGTTGATCTCCTCTAGGACTGGCTGGTTTGATTACCTTGCAGGCCAGGGGACTCGCAGGAGTCTTCTCCAGCACCATAGTTCAAAGGCCTCAATTCTTTGGCACTCAGCCTTTCTTATGGTCCAACTTTCACAGCCACACATTGCAACTGGGAAAACCATGGCCTTGACTATACGTACTTTTGTTGGCAGCTTGATGTCTCTGCTTTTTAGTATGCTGTCTAGATTTGCCATAGCTTTCCTCCCCAGGAGCAAGCGTATTTTAATTTCTTGGCTGCAGTCCCCATCTGTAGTGATCTTGGAGCCCAGGAAGATAAAATCTGTCACTACCTCCATTTCTTCCCCATCTATTTGCCAGGAATTGAGAGGGCTGGATGCCATGATCTTGGTTTTCTTAATGTTGAGTTTCAAGCCAACTTTTGCACTCTCCTTCTTTACCCATATCAAGAGGCTCTTTAGTTCCTCTTCACTTTCTGCCATTACAGTGGTATCATGTGCATATCTTAGGTTGTTGATATTTCTTCTGGCAATCTTAATTCCAACTTTTGATTCATCTAGCCCTGCCTTTCTCATGATGTGCTCTGCATATAAGTTAAATAGGCAGGGCAACAGAATACAGCCTTGCCGGACTCCTTTTCCAATTTTGAACCAATCAGTGGTTCCGTGTCCAGTTCTCACTGTTGCTTCTTGACCCACATATAGGTTTCTCAAGAGACAAATAAGATGGTCTGGTACTCCCATCTCTTTAAGAACTTGCCACAATTTGTTGTGATCCACACAATCAAAGGCTTTAGCATAGTCAATGAAGCAGAAGTAGATGTTTTTCTGGAACTCCCTAGCTTTCTCCATGATCCAGCGTATATTGACTTCATATTAAGTATGAGCTAGCAACAGATATAATAATAATAATGATAAAGTTGGAAGGGATCTTGGAGGTCATCTAGTCCCCCTGCTCAGGCAGGAAACCCTATACCATTTCGGACAAATGACTGTCCAGTTTCTTCTTACAAACTTCCAGTGTTGGCGCATTCACCGCTTCTGGAGGCAGGTTGTTCCACTGGTTAATTGTTCTAACTGTCAGGAAGTTTCTCCTTAGTTCTAGGTTGCTTCTCTCTTTGGTTAGTTTCCATCCGTTGCTCCTTGTCCTGTTTTTTTTTTTTTTTTTGCATGCAAGTGGATAGAAACAGTGTTGTCTCCAGTGCAGGGAACTTGAGTAATGAAGCTTTCATATTAAAAAAATATCTGGAAAGAAAGCATTTTGCTAGGAGTTAGGAGTTTAAAAAAAAATCATGTCTCCAAACTTTATTTCATCCCTAGTGATCAGTGATCATAATTTTTTCCACTAGGATTCATGTATGAAATGTGTACAATAGTAGAAATCTAGTATATGCTGTTGTTGACAATTTTTAATTAAATGCAAATCTAACCATTTCCCATAGACATATTTTGTACATGGATTGTTATTTAAACCATGGAACATGAATAACATTTCCTCTAGAAAGGAGGCTGACAGATGAGGGTGTTGCCTTTCTCCTTCTTTTCTTCCTAGAAAACAAAATGTAGTTCAAACCACTTAGACATTATTTTTATGGAGGTGACACAAGATAAACATAAACCATTAATCTTATCTTCTAGAGAATACTGATAAAATCTGAAAACTATGCATTGCTATTTGGCAATTATTTTTAACAAGGTTTGTTCTATTTAAGAATGTTATCAACATTCAAGCCGAGAAATGATAAAACTTTGCCCTGAAGGAAAGGTAATCACAGCCTTCCTTAAAGCCTGCTTTGCCACTTTCCCTTCCTTTACTCCATGGTTCAATGATTTAAAAAACTGTACTCCACCATGATTATCCTCTGTCTTAATGTATCACAGATCAAGAGGTTCTGTGCCTTTTATTTCAATTGTGGCAACTTATTGAATTGAGGAATTATTTATTAATCACAGAGTTAACCTGCAATTCTGGAACAGCAAACAAAAATCAAATCTGCAGTTTTGTAGTGATTTTAATATTGAACCAGAATGGATTGGAATGATACTACATCCTTGGCAGAAAAATAATGTTATTCATCCAGCATAGACTGTGTGACCCAACAAATGGTACGTGTGCATTGGCATTTTTATTGCAAAGCATAATGATACCAAAATTACAAAAAGGCCAGCATGAATATGTAAGTAGTAGAGTTTGTATCTCCACATCAAAGCACACATTTCCTCATTTTCCCCTCATGCTCACCCCATGGTGATATTTTGGTGCCTGTATCCCCATTACACACCATTTCATTGGGATGTTTGGAAAGGATATTTATGACCAATTTTGCGAAAATCCATTTCATTCTCATTACTACTGTCTGGTACATATGGAGAGTACAATGAGACTTGCAAAGGATTTGTAACTGGCTGACAAACCATACTCAACAAGTCATGCTTAATGGTACTACATCTGGAGGGAAGTAAGCAGTGGATACCAAGCACTCTTCAATATCTTCAAATGACTTAAATGAGGGAATTGAAGGGGAACTCATTAAATTTGCAGATCACACTAATCTGGCAGGAATAGCCAACACCCCAGAAGACAAGCTCAGAATCCAAAAAGATCTTGACAGACTTGAACAATGGGCCCTATCCAACAACATGAAATTTAATGTGGAGAAAAGCAAGGTTTTACAAGTAGGCAGGAAAAACCAATGATACAAGTACAGATTAGGTGAAACCTGGCTCAAAAACAGTAAGATGAGAGGAGTCCTAGTGGACGATCACTTAAACATGAGCCAGCAGTGTGTGGCAGCAGCCAAAAAAGCTAATACAATCCTTGGTTGTATAAACAGAGGCATAGAATCAAAATCACATGAAGTATTAGTATTGCCTTAAAAATCCTGGTAACAGTGAGAACAATTAATCACTGTGGGTGCTCAACACTGGATATATTTAAGAAGAGACTGGACAGCCACCTTCTGAAATGGTATAGGATCTCCTGCTTGAGCAGGGGATTGGACTGGAAAATCTCCAAGGTCCCTTCCAGCTCTATTCTGATTGAACATAATAATTTTTACAAACCATGTTAACCTTGATCACAA